CTTGGTAAGACTATCAGAAAATTGTTCACACACATTCTCCATCTAGACTGAGTGTGCATCAGATTTGACCCTTGTTGATTAGAAGAAATAGGTTACAGAGGATCATCAAAACTTTTTAAAATGATGCAGAAAACGGTATGTCAGCTCTGCACTCGATGGTCCGAAGATGTTATAAAGTAGGAAGTTTCATTTTTTTAAATTGTCTGTTCTGAAAAATGTTCTGCATTAAAAAAATAAAAAAGAAAAAAAGAAAAAGTCCCAATTATAGATGAGAACTAATCAGCATATTTTCCAATTTGGTGCTCAGTGTTGTACATCAGCTACCTCCTCTTGTGTGACAAGAACAAGCCTGGACCTTAACCTCCCTCTTGTTCAGGGCCGTCACTGACAAAGCCTGTGCACCCTGTGGGATTAAAGGAGTGCTGCTGTCGGACAGTGATTCAAACAAAGCTTTCGATAAACTCTTTGTTGGTGGTCATGTCTTGGTTTGTGCACAAAGCCTCGTGTTTTTGTTGACATCTTTGTGGCCATAGGTGATATTAATTAATATATATATTAATATGTAATCTAATATGTTCAATATTAATGAATTCTCTGTAATTATGTCTGCCTGTTTAAACATAATTGTGAGGTCTGGATTCTCACATTCCATGTTTTAGGTTAAAATCTGATTTCTATAAAAGGTCAAATATCCAAAGCTACTAGTGACAAGCAACTCCATTACATTAGATTTACTTATAACTTACAAACAAAATCACATTTTGGCTTGCAATTGTTTGTTTTTGACAATAAATCATAATGATCTTTGTAGTTTTATAAAAAAATAAAATAAAATTACAAAGTTAAACTTGGTGAACTTTCATACTTATTTAAATAAGCTTCTGTACAATCCCCCCCGCCCCCCTCAATCCCCACTCCCACTCCCTCCATGTTGGTGCGTGGGAGTGTGTATGGATCAGAGTACGTATAAATGAGCATGTTTGTAATGAGTTGGTTACCTGCGAATCACCTGCAGGTGTTCCGTTGTTAGAGTGTTGAGAAGGGTAGAAGACCTGCAACACACAGCACCCAAGAGCAACAATGGTTAGGTGGGCTCGACTTTGGGTGGCTGCTGCAGCCTAAGACAGATAAACATATAGCATCACCCCAGGGCAGCCACACACCCAGCAGATCACAGGCTAAAGAGGCACAGGGTGAGATGTCGAGCACCGACAAGACCCTGACCCAGCCTATTCACTATCGCCCACTCTGAAGGTCAGACCGAGAGCCGAGTCCCCAGCAGAAAAACTGGGAGACCACTTAGAAGGACCAGGACAGAGAGGGCTGACTTGCCTGGTCTGTTTGTGTGATGTCAGCAGTGTACCAGTTTGCCTAAATTCCCTTATTTATTCATTTATTTATTTACACTTTTTGGACAAAGTAAATATTTATCACAAACTGCACATATCAGACAGCAATGGCCTCTGAAAATCCTTCACTTTTTGCCATTGGTGTTCTCTATGCAAATTTACATGAATATGGTTAGTCTTTTCTCTAAATATTACAAAAGTCATATAGACTTGGCAAGCTGCATCATTACAAAAGGTGTATTTGACTTGCAGCATCATGTGAGGTTCAAGTCTTCCTTCGCAAGAGCTCTGTAAATGAGACAGACAGTCTGCTCTGGTGATGGCGGGAGGATGCAAAAGCTTTGGTGAATCCGGCCTGGGAGTGTTTGTGTCTGATTGGCTTGCCATCAGTGCAGCTCTGCCTCCTCCCATGCATCAAGCTCATTATAATAATAACAATGCAATGACAGCATTGCATTGAACAGCAAATGTTTTACCATGACAAAATAAAAAATAAAAAACATGATAAATCTGGGTAATATTTAAATATATTTTTAAAAGCATGCAATAAACAGAAAGACATATGTCAATTATAAAAATTAATTTTACAAAGGGTTGAAAGAAACTGACAGAAAAGCTACTTCTTTGTGTCATGTGATACAAGTAGGAATGAAGAAGGAATGATAACTTAACTAAACTGCAAACAGATAACTTTCCAAGTTTTAAAGAATGTTGCCATTGTTTATTTTCAAAATTTTTTTGTTCAAAATCAAAAGCTATCACACAGGTAACTTACCGTAATTTGAAGAGTTAGGAAGCTATGCAGTAAGTGAACAATGAAAATTAGTTACTTTCAAAATCTGACTAGTAAATCAAAAATAAATACATGGCCTGTAAACATATTTAGATGTTTTTGTTTGTTTTTAATTTTTCAAAAAAGCAAATGAATGTTCCAAGTTCAACAATATTTTTCTGACGCGTTTGCTTTGAATGACCCAGTAAGGAAATTCTTCTAGTTTAATCCAAGTCAATGCATTAAATCATTTGTTTTATTAAGTTTATGGTTTTACCTTTTTTTTTTTCTTCAAAAGTTTATGCAGAAAAGACATTTTGGCAAAAAAAACAAACAAAAAAAAAAGCAAAAAACTTTTGTCTCTATGACTACATTTAGAAAATACAGCAATTAAAAATGTGTAGCTCATAGTGCTGGTTGACTGGTTGTTGGACAGTTTGAACTAATAGCCTTGTTTTCACTCTGCAAACATAAAAAATGGGCTCTTTCTCTTAATGAGGGCCAGCATGCAGAGATTAGATGACCTGTGTCCCTCTGCGCTCATTATAAAAGCACAGAGTCTTGCAGAGGCGGGATAGCTAATGCTCACCTGGCAATTATGATGGCCCAGTGACTGATAGGGAAATCATTTCCTGTCTGTTCCCCTCAAGAGGGCTGCATCACAGAGCCGCACAGACAGCGCTCTGAGGCATCTCAACTTCTCACCGTCCTGCCATGCAGTCATTCATTTGGAAACAGTTATGTCAGGCCAAAGCGCTGTTTTTAGAAGCTACCGTTCATACACTGAGGCTTGCTGGGTTCAGACTAGACAAGAAATGTGATGTGATAAACTGCAAGGAGCTGCAAGTGAATAGGGAGGTAGTTTTTTTTTTTTTTTTTTTGCCTGGAACCAGACTGACTTAGCAGCATATTGATCCTGGTGAGCTCAGACAGTGGATCCAGGAATGGTTGGAAAATAAACAAGCTGCAGTGGACATAAATTGTTTAAATGAAAAATCACAATGATGTGGTGGACATCATGACAACTAGAAGCAGGGGAGGGTAAAAAAAAAGTCTTTAAAGAGGCAGCTGGATGGGGATTACTGGTAATATTTTGCTGGCACCAAAATTAAAAGCCACAACAAAGTTCAAAGAGCTTTATTATGCTGTCCTGTCTACATTTTGAGTCCACCACCAAACAATTCATGATAACAATTCAGTTAAATAAACGATTGCTTAAAGGAAATTAATGCATAATCTACTGATAAAAGGTTAAGCACATTCAAGCATTGAATCTTTCTTTATTTATTTGAATAAAATACATAAACATTTTATCCCCTTTCTGTCAGGTGGTGGTACACTTAGATGTAGAAAACTGAAACAAATTGTGCGTTGTTTTCTTCCAATTGTACTTTCAATATGCAAATAAGAACTAAATAAATCCACTTTATGACTAAACTGATATAAATACTAGATTTTAATGCAAATTTCCTACTGCACCCATCAGGGGGTTCTCAACACAGTGATAATTGTTTTCAACCTCTGCACAATGCAGCGAAAATAAATAAAGAGCAAAAACAAAGACGAAGAGATAGATCAGCTATTTATTGTAGAGGAGGTGCTGTTTTGTTCCTCCTGTCCTTCTGTGTTTGACACAGTGTGTGAGCCTGGGCAGTGTGGGTGTATTTCTCTGTGGATACAATCTTGGTAATACGATGAGTAATTCTAGTTGCAGGTTTTTTTGTGCACCTGGGAGCTAATAGCGCCATTATTTAGTGTGTGTGTCTGGAGTGTGAGAAACCCTCCCTGCAGAAGATGTGTAGATATAAAGTGCAGTCCCCTCTGGGAGAGTCGCAGGGTCATTGGAGAATGTTAACACAGGTGACCCAGAAGGATAAACTGCAAACAAGTTTCAGTGACCTGTGAAGAAACCTGCTGAATAATGGAAAATCGATCAATCGCATTGGCTCACTCTGGAGGTTTTTATTAGGAAAATAAGGAGCTACAGTGACTTTTTAAAGAAATTCATACTCCAAGTTAGGCCCACACCTCAGTATATTTTGGGGAGAGAGGGGAAGACTTAAAGAAGGAGTAAAAATAGTAATCAGCAAACATAAAACATATGCATATGCTTTGATTTAAATCATCCAATTGTAGTTCCTGCTGAGTGGTTGTCCAGCTGACATAGATCTCCTATCTGTTGCACATTTTAAGTCGGTTTCCTCCATTATTGCTCTGTGATTCAAGCAAGAAAACATGGTGATGCTTCCACCACCATATTTTGTTGTATTAATAGTGCCTTCAGTTTGATTAGTTTTTTGACATATGTAGCATTTTGTATGTAGACCAGTTCATTTTGACTAAATCATAATTTTTTTTGCATGTTTTATAGACTCCAGAGTTTTTATATATGCTTGTCAAAAACTATTTTGCCTTTGTATCCCTTTCCTTCCACATTTGCTGCTTTTTTATGGTGGTCTGAAAAATGAAATTCCAATAAAACACAGGTGTTAGGGTTAAATGAAGTAATGAATTGTGGAAAAGCTGAAGGGATGTAAAACTTTTGCAGGGTATTGCAAACGTGTAAAAGATTATTCTTCAAGATTTTCCATAGCCTCTGATAATTGTATTGTTAAAAAAAATAACACATAAACTGCCAGAGATCTGTTCATTCAGCGCTTCTACTTTAGTGGGATTTCACATGTTTGCTATATATATATATATATATATATATATATATATATATATATATATATATATATATATATATATATATATATATATATATATATATATATATATATATATATGAAAACTGTTAAATGAGGCAATCCCTCTCTCTCCCTTCCTCCAATCTGTGTCTCTATGTGGTACCACTAGGCAACCGTGGGCGCATCACTGGATATGCAAAAGTGCGCAGGAGCCGAGCAAAGAAATCCAAGCAAAGAAAGGGACGTAAGCAGCCAAAAAGAGCATCTGTTGGATCTTTGCATCAGTGGAACAATGAGAAACCCGCCGTTGTTCCCTTAAGAAGGAAAGGAAAAGCTGCAGGAAAAGAGCCCTGGCGATCGAGCCTCCAAAAATGACGACAGCGGGACGGTGATATTCTTCTTCTTCTTTGCATCAAGCTCTATATTAATATTTTTATTTTTTACCATATGCCTGGAGTTTATCTCATGTGTGCTCAGAGCACAAAGGGAAGGACTGGGGAACCGAATTATCTCCAACACAGTCGCCAGTGCGCGCGGGGAGGTTTCGTTTAATTGAATCGAATAATTACGCAGAGACGTTTATATTATTTGTGTTTCACAGGGCGCAGGGAGAGAGGGGGGATTTAAGTTTCCAATGAAAACTTACTGCGAGTGCGGCTCCTGAGCAAGTCGTTTAAAGCCTCAGCTTTCAAAGGGGAGAGAGATGAGCGATTCACTGCGCACTAACTGGTAAAGCTGTAAAACCTGGACTGCGACTGGCGCGTTTGGGTACCTCATCCTTGAGAGTCTCTATTTTTTTAATGTATTTATTTCTGATGGCTTCTTGTTAAGTCATGCGTTATTAAGATTTCATGGCTATAGAGAGTACCAACAGCGGAGTGTGGAGAAAGAGGACAGCAGGAGTCTAACAGGAGGGCTAAAGACATCATACTTTTCCAAACAGGAGACATTGCGCACGGCTGCAGCAACTACCAGACTTTTTTTTTATTTTTTTTTCTTTTCTTTTCCAAGAACACTGAATCCTTTGGTATTTCTTTCTGTCATCGTAGTATGTCTGCACTTCGAAAGAAATTTGGGGACGATTATCAGGTAGTGACCACCTCCTCCAGCGGGTCCGGATTCAGTCAGCCCCCCCCAGAGAAAAAGAAGAAGAGGCAACGCTTTGTGGACAAGAACGGACGTTGCAACGTCCAGCATGGGAACCTGGGCGGCGAGACGAGCAGGTACCTCTCGGACCTGTTCACCACGCTGGTAGACTTGAAATGGCGCTGGAATTTGTTCATCTTCATCCTCACCTACACCGTGGCTTGGCTCTTCATGGCCTCCATGTGGTGGCTCATCGCCTACATCAGAGGAGACCTCAACAAAGCGCACAACGACAAGTACACTCCATGTGTGGCCAACGTGTACAACTTCCCCTCTGCCTTCCTGTTCTTCATAGAGACCGAAGCCACCATAGGCTACGGCTACAGATACATTACAGACAAATGCCCCGAGGGGATCATTCTGTTTCTGTTCCAGTCCATCCTCGGATCGATCGTCGACGCGTTCCTGATCGGCTGCATGTTCATCAAGATGTCTCAGCCCAAGAAGAGGGCAGAGACGTTGATGTTCAGCGAGCATGCGGCGATCTCCATGCGTGATGGGAAACTCACGCTCATGTTCAGGGTGGGAAACTTGCGTAACAGCCATATGGTCTCTGCACAGATCCGCTGCAAATTGCTCAAAGTAAGTAGTGGCACTTTTTATAAGGAGCGACATTTCATAGTTTGCCGCAATCTCACATCATACATTTATGATTGCACAATTAAATAAAACGAAAGAAAGAAAAAAAAGAACAGAAGAGGGATGGGGTGGAATAAAAGGAAGAAATCGATATAGAAAGGCCTAAAGATCCATGCAGGGAAAGTTCTTATGTCATAAATTTGGATGTACATCTTTCAGATCTCAGCATTGAAAAGTTAATTGTTCAACAATTAAAAGAAAAAAAAATCTATAGATTATTTACACAGAATTTTTTTTTCGTTCATTTTGATGGCTATGGAATACATTTAATGAAAACAACATTACATAGAACCAATGAAAAGTATACTGTACATTAATGGCTTCAAAATCTTCCAATGTTCCACTAAGGCCTGTTGACCTTTTCCTGCCACACTTTTACCTTCCACTAAACTTCCCATTAGGATTCGAGCAATCAACACTTTGTGAACAACCAGCTTCTTCAGCATTCAGCTTTTGGTGTTTCACTCTTCTCCTGGAAGGTTTCAGTAGCTGCTGCAGCTGACAAGATAGAAGACTTGCTTGTGACTTTATGTTTTTCTGTTTGTTTCAAGTTAAATAAACAAAATTAATATAAAAGTGCTTGAAATGTATCAAATATTTTATAAATCTTTGAAATATGAATTTTACTTTTTGAATTGAATTAACTAAAAAAAAGATTTCTCACAAATTAAAATTGCAAAAATGATTTCAACAAGTGATAGATCCTCTGCATACTTACTGATGCATTTAAAGTGAGAGTTTGTTTATAATGGCTTGTAGGTAAGGAAAATCCAAAGTCAGTGATTGAGTTCATTTCTAAAGAGGTTGGCTTCATAATGCAATGCTTAGTGGAAGGAAAAAAGTATTGAATAAATGTGTTGAAGTAGCAGAATTAACCACAGCCTTAAGGTGTGGTTAATTTTTTTTAAACAAAGCCCAGGCAAGAGTTTTAGGGAGATCTTCAAGAATCATAGAACATACACTTAAACATTTATTATATCAAAGTATTCTTGAACCAGAAGCAACATAAGATGCATTTAGCTGATCAAGGGTGAACAGTAGCAGTTATGATATAATTGATATATGATATAATTAGTGGCTCCAAGGCCTTTTTGGATAATTGTGGTGTTTGGGTCTGGAGTTAGAGTGTAGAGGCACTGAATACACATTTCCTGAAATCCAGAAAGAAATTGCCACAGCAAGTGGACCAGTTTACTCATCTGTCTGTTGGTAAACTTTATAGAGATGCTGACTTGGCACCTGGCTACACTGCTATTATAGCCAATAACTGTTTTATTGACAAAGTGCGAATTAAAAGACAACATAAAAAAGTCCTAAAGTATGAATATTATGTTGCAGGTTTTTTCAAGAGTGTAGGGGCTGGCACTGTAAAAGTCCAATCTCCCCATTTTGAAAGTTTTGACAGAGTCTGCACTTTGACCATCTTGATAGATTATCTCAGAGCTCTTCTGGGAATACATGGCTGGAGGACCTTCGTTAAATGAAAGGGTACCACACCATTTAAATCTTGAAGGAAAAATAAACGAGCAACTGAAGTAAGGAGTCACCTGATAGTTTAACTCCAGTTTTCTATTGCTTTGTTGGATATCAATTCAATAGAGACTCACATTGTGAGCCTAGTGTATCAACAGTGGAAGAAAATTGTTTCATTCGGCGCATGTTGCTAATGAGAATCAAGGCATCTGACTTGCAGTTACTGATCTGCTGCAAAATTCTTTGTCATCTCATAGTCAGTACAGTTCAGAATCTGAAATACAGACATTCCTCAAAACATAAAAACTTCATCAACGCTTAATCAATTTTTGAAAACAAAAGAAGATAATTTTTTTTTTTTATTATTGAGATTGAGGCATGTGTAAACCAAGATTTATAGACAGGCTAAACCTGGACTCGTTTATTCATCACTGATTAAAAAATGTACTTTCGCATTATTAGTTACAATGTGTGTTAGTGATGGTTTCTCTGATGAGACGATCCCCATGTGTGGATTATGCTAAAAAAAAAACAGCCCTTTATCTTCAACAACCCAAATTTGTTAGGGTTAGGGTAACAGTTGAAAAATATTGTACAACATAGAAAATGTCTAAAGGAATTTAAAATACTCTAACTTGGAGTATGTTTAGGCTGTTAGAACCTTATATATTTATACTTGTGTTTGCATAGCACAGAAAGTGGGTTTCAGACAGTATTACCTCATGCAGAGGTGACTGAATGTAGTTTTTTCAGCTGTCTGTTTCTAGGCCCAGTGGATATCAAATTCAAGCTCTAATTGATGTTGTGAGTTTATACGCTTCACATTACAAAGCTTCTGTATTTTGTAAAAATTGAGATCAGATTATCAAATTATGAGGCTAACAAGTAGATTAAGAGGAACCAAGATCTAAAAGCTGTTTTATTGATTTTTATTCTTACTAAGCAGATCCACTTGTCTATTTCTGATGGGACACTAGACACATATGAACATATGCCATTGGCAGGGAAACATGAGAATATCATTAGGCCCTGCACATCTTTTCTGTTGTTGGGAATATCACCTCTATGACTGTCGCACCTCTCTCAAGATCCATGCTTAAATGGTTACCAAAGGTGAATCCCTTCCTCCAATTTGTCACTTTTACAACAAACCAGCTATATGGTCCTCAAAGAAGTAGGGGGCTCAAAGTGCTTTTAGTTTGATTATCATAGCCTCCGATATAAATTTTAAATACATTTTCTGTGTAAATATTTATCAACTTCTCTGTACAACAAACTCCAATAAAAACATCACAAAGGCTAAAAAAATTGTACATTTGTATAAACATAAAAAGATTAGAAATATTTGAGGTTGTAGTCGTTTTAAGATGAAGATTTTGTCTGGATAGATTGATCAAACCAAAATATGTTGCATTATTTTTAGTCATAATGCAACATTTCTGTGCCGTGTTGGTTATTTAGGTACAAAACATCTCAAGCTGGATACAAAGTGACGGATTGTCAGTACAAAATGTCATGCAGCAAGCTTCATTTTGGATCTGAAAAGTTGGGTGTAAAAACTGTCCATTTTTAATGTGTTTCACGGAGGAGGATCTTTGGTACTGAACCACTTCACAACTCTTTTTTTCTGTATACATGACTATCAACTTCTCTATGATTAATTGTTGAATGCAAACATGGCTTTCTTTCAAAGATTAATAAAATAGCTTTTGCACAAATTGGTATATATTTTTGAGATTGGAGGCTTTCTTAATATGCTAGAGGTCCACTTCGGTTTTGGCCCATCCATATCCGATTTTTACTAAAGCAAGACATTGAGAGTTAGGATCCGCAGTTAAGATGTTGACCTATTTTCATCCTTTTATTGCAACTTATATTAAAAAAATCTTTCTTTGTCTTTCTTCATATTGAGCATCTGTGTTTACTTTCTCCTTGCCCAATCAGTCTCGCCAGACTCCTGAGGGCGAGTTTCTTCCACTGGATCAGCTGGAGCTGGACGTAGGTTTCAGCACTGGGGCTGACCAGCTCTTCCTCGTCTCGCCACTCACAATCTGCCATGTGATTGACACCAAAAGCCCCTTCTACGACCTCTCACAAAGGTCCATGCAAACGGAGCAGTTTGAAATTGTGGTGATACTAGAAGGCATCGTGGAGACCACAGGTAGGCAACAGCGTGTTCTACGGTCAGCACTGCTGAAAAAGACGGAGATTGTTTTACTAAATGTTGCTGCATGCAGAGGAAGGTTGTGTTTTTTTATGTGCTTTTGCAACAAATCTGATTGCTAATATTGAGGGTTAACTGCTCAAATTCAGCTGGGCAGACTATCATATTTGATTGATTTTCATTTTTGAGGGAAACACAACAATAAGCATCTAATAATGAGAGTGATTTTCATCTATTCATAAGGAAGGACAAATTAGTGTTTCAGAGTTTAGTGGAAATATTTGCTTGTGAACCCCATGGTACAATTCTACCATTTATTTATTTATTTTTTTTCAATGTGATCTTTCAGGGTTCTGTGCTTGGCTGTGAAAAATTTCTTTTTCTCATCAGAATAGAAAAAAAAAAATCAATTTCTCGTTTTTTTGCCTGAATACCGCTGGCTCCTGTTCTCGGAGGGCACAATCATTTGCTTTCCAGGGTCCCTTTGGAGTTACAGAATTTCATTTCCACGAGACTAGTGATGCCACGAGTAAAACTCCTCCATATGGTCATTTTAGAATTCAATCGTTTATTTGACACAGTTGATAATAAAGTGGCACACGCTGAGCTCCTTTAGTGTTATAACAGTTGTAACGAACCACTTCAGAGGAAATGCAGCATATGGAGATGTGAGAGGATGGTAATTAGCGAAGCAGTCAGGTCCTAGAGATGCATGATGGGGATGTATTGCAGTTTTATTAATGTTTTATCGTGGCTGAGTATGATCTGACATATAGCATGGCCTTGGAGCTCAGGCCATGCAGTATTTATGCTGTATCATTCTGCTGGGACCGGACATATTAGAGTGACTAGGTGTACGTTATTAAATTATATTAAAGTACTGCGCAGTGTAATACGTTCAGAGTGTGGAGTCTTTGATTTATCAAAATGCATTTAGGTCAGATAGAATAAAGAATTTCAAAAGAAATATGGTTTGAAAAAATATAAAACATTTTTTTACCCATGAGCATATTATTGTTACCATTACACATCATGTCAGGGGTTTAATTGTGGATTTAAACAAAGTTTTATCAAATGTTATTCAAAAATCTCAACCATTGACCTCTTAATGAACCACAATAGAATATTACTGCCATAAATTTGGGGTAATATACTAAAAACTTTTTCAGGAATCTTGGTTATTATTAGTTTTATATTATTCACCACTATCATATTATTCATTCTTCAGTCTCACTTTTTTCTATTCTAATCAAGTTTATTTCTATAGCACATATCAGAAACTAAGTAGTTCAAAATGTTTTACATTATCATTTATAAAAACAAGCAATTAATATTATCTTTTGTCAAATGTCATCATCAAAACATTAAGCAATTACATATCAAGTATGTTGTTCAATGTTTCACTTGCTGCTGATCAAAAGTAAAGAGGTGGTCTTAAAGGCTCAGTTTAAAGGTACTCAGTGTTTCAACTGAGGCAAAACAAGAAGGACACCGAAGTAAACCATTTTTGTGATTATAATTATTCAACACAATCTGTCTCTTTGTGAAAAAATTACTGACCCCAAAACTGCTATGTTTAGGGCTCACAGTTATCATCTAGCAGCTCCAGGAAAGGTTAACAACTGCTCTATGTTCTCTCCACTGTGGCCCAGTGGAGTCCCAAAACACCAGACAGAGCTCAAACCATTTCCAGACTGATAGATGTGTCTTTGGTTCTGATCTATTCTTGAATTTCTTTAGATCAGGAAGTGATTTGTTCTTTAAGATCTTTTAGTCTACTTGATATTGTCAGAAACATTTAATTTATTTTCTTGATTTTGCAGTTCTGACAACACTCTGGCCTGGGTGTGGCTTGTGACAGTGAGCCAAAAATATAGTTGATCACTCAAAATTTATAATTTAGCAAAGCAGAGGAATCAGTTTCCACATAGAATGAGGTTATTTAAAATAGCTTTTTTTCACATGACTGCAAAAGCATCACTACTGACAACAAAGCTAAAAAACTGGAGTTTTATTGTATATAATCATAAGTGCATCTGAAGTATAAGAATTATTGATTTATTAAAGTACTTTTTATGGCACGTGAAATGTTTATTCTATTATTGTAATGTTGAATGTATTTATGACATATTTTCAATAGTTTTTTTTTGTTGTTAAAAAATAGATGTATGTGCTCTCATGGCTTTTCTCCCCAAAACATCTGCACTTCAGTGCAGCTGCAGTCATGTGAAAGTTGGTGGAAATGCTAATGTAGAAACAATCTATAGTTAAAAATTGATGTACAGTGAAAGTCTGAATCCTTCGTCGCTCTCATTTCTGGCCAATGTAACTCTGTTTCCATGGCAACCTCTCCTTGAGTATTCAGGATTGCAGCGATGCACTAAACTTAGATATTTTTTTTTGTTTCTATGTTATAGGAATCATTACACAGTTTCAGTAATGAATAAGGCAAATGTGCGCTGCTGAATATGAAATAAGTTCGCTGCCTCAACAATGTCGCCTGTTATTTGTGACGATCTTGTCTGAATTATGAAAAGCACTCAGAGGCAGCGCTTAGCCATTAAAAACTCACCAAAACAGGAGATTCAACAGAGAAAGAATGAGATAAAGCATTTATGAGCCCTGCTTTCTGTCTACTAGAAAAGGAGCCGTGCAACTAACAGTGTCACCTGTTGAAAAATTTAGCTAAAATACTCACCTGTGGCAGAGTTTCACCATCACTTTCTACTGGACGCCAAATGAGATATTTACAAATATTTACATTATGACATGGGAATCTTTTCTCCTGGAGATTGCGAAGAGTAATAATTATGACTCTTTCTTTCTCTTTGCACACAAGAAAACAATAAAAGAGCTCTGAGTTGTCACAATATGTATAAAAGTCAGAGGAGAGCATAATCTCACCTCACCTTCATCATCACCAGTGTGTTACATTTTCCCAATGAGACCTGGCAGATAATGTCTTCACCTAAAGTAACAGCACCTGCAGCTTTGTGACAGACGAGCAAATGCCACTGTTAACTCAAAAAGAGAGTAAATTATATTAATAGGATACAATTTTAATTCTAACAGTTAGTATTACCAGTTTGTAAACTGAATTACCGTTAAAGTTATATGTGGTTATCGGAACAATGAAAATGTAGGCACATCATCTTGCTTTTATGAGGCTTTTTACAAAAACACATGATGTCTGTTACCAAAAAAAAAAAAAAAAAAACTCACTTGTTGGCAATCTGTTTTTCTATTTTATAGTTACCATCTCGGTCAAAAAAAAGAAGCAAGCAAATTTTGCATATTTAGAAAGTTTGGCATCATTTTTATCAATCTTACAGTTAAACCCAAAATTCCACAAATTCCTTATTTTAATTCAACGAAAATAATCTACTAGGATATGGAAGAGTCATCTCCAAAAAGAGAATACAATGCTAGAGACTTATTAATGTGAAAAAAGAGAAAAGAAGTATATGAATACATGAATGTGTGAATAGTTTTGGACTTCAGTCATAGCTCGTGGTGGCGATCTTATATTTTTGTCATGTGTTATGGATTACAGAGTCTTATCTGTATTCAGTCTGCTCCTCTTCTGCTTGCTGCAAAGTTTACTTTTCGATCATAAGAGACTACCTAATGTTTATTAGTTTTTGTTTGGATAGTAGCTGGTGCTGGTGTTCTTTCCATCACCTCCATGGATGGCATGGAGTCTCAGCAGTATCAAGACAGCTCTGCTTCTGCCTGTTCTTCCAGAGTGTGAATCACTGACTTAGCTACAGTTGTTTGGCCTTGTTTTTTGTTTTTGTTTTGTTTTTTTGCTTTAGTAGCTTCTGTTCAGGCTCCAACTTGAGCTGTTTTCTTGTTGAATTTTGCTTGCTTGTCCTCCAGATTTCCATTTTACGTTTATGAAAGGTTGTTAGGGGGAACAATAGCTGTAGCATGTTCTTGTTCTGATACATTTAATTGCTTGAAAAACCTTCAGACCTTTTGGTATTATGATATGACTAATGGATGAATATATTCTCTTTTTGGTAGTTAAGTACATGAGTTCTGATGTTAACAGAGGGATTTCTATACTTGAGCCACACAGTAGACATGCAGTGTGCTTCATGATCTACTTGTATATTTTTTGTGTGCTTCGACATCTTTTATAAGCTTTCAATCTGTTGCCCTTGGCCGAGTTTTTAAAAGAATACTATTGACAATACAAGACCCTGTTATGTAGTACTTACATATTTCCACCAAGCCCAGGGTTAATGACTGATAACATCAATGTAAATAATGGCAGTGGCAGCAAAACATCACATAACTCTCAACAGAATGTTTAAGAGCTTCTAGGTTTATTAATCATAGGCATGTCAGATTTTATATGTGTAGTTCATCACATTGCTTTGATGATGTGGTTCTCAGAATAATAATACAGGGCTTAAGTGCTGTAGTAAAGAGGTTTGCACTATGTAAAAGAGATGCAGTGACCAGGCTTTTACTGAAAGATGCTGAATTCCAGTTTTCTTTTGTCCATCAAATCCATTAAAGAACATGCTGGGTTTTGATGCATTCACTTGCCGAAGGAAGTGGGATTACTTTTCAGTTTTGTGTCGTACAATTGAGAATGAGCAAAACGTCATGAGATATTAAGGACTGTCATTATTAATTTGACAAAAATGTGCCAGAACACAAGAGTACTCTGTGACTCTTGTCACCATCACAGTGCGCCCCAAACTTAATCAATTTGAAGAAGCACTTTTTGCAGCTGTCACCTGAAGTAATCCTCCGCTGTATTACCTCATCAATCTCTTACTTCCTAGTGGAGAGTTACGGCCCAATCTTAGCAATATTTCAGTTTCATGAGGTTTGATTTGTTTATTCACAGCTCGTTCTAGATCCAACCACAGAATTTAAATTGGAGCTCAGGTTTTACCACTCACATTCTTTTTTTTCCCCGTCTGACCATTGCGTCTTACAGCTGAAGAGGTTTTGGAAATAATAAATATCACTGGTGGAGC